TTTGCAAACTTACCTCTCCCCCCTTTCCCTGTACGAGAGCTGGAGAGGGTTAGAATGGGGTGCAACTGTTCTGCACTAAGGCTGCCTATCCTGGCCCAATCTATCATCATGCTAAGAATGGGTCAAAAAAGCCATGCCAGGGCTTGGTGATTTGATTCAGTTCTACTTCAGACTCTCTGCCACCTCCCCCCCAGCCACGGGAAGGCAGTGGCAGTTGGCAAGAAAACTAACTGGAATTCATGTCACTTTTCATCGCTGCCCTAGCACAAGGCATGACATCACTGTCACGCTAGTAGTGAGTCAAGTCAGACTGTGGTCTGGCAATTAACTTGCCCACTAAAAGCCTCTTCTGGATGTCATTAGCAGCTGACGGTGCCCCAGGCCAAACCCCCTTGGAATGCATTGAGTCCAATCATGAAAAGAAAAGATTTTCTGAAGTATTTCCTCTGTAATTATAGGGCCTATAGTCAGAGGCTGAGGGTTTAGTCAAGGCTGGCACTAGACTGAAGAAAACAGCAGAGCTGGAATCCTGCAGCTGTGGGAAGCCGGAAGTAAGATCCTGACTCCAACATTGGGCAAAGTCAGTGCTACCTGTGGTGCATTAGAGAGTAGGCTTCCTTCCAGCTCAGGGAAGGTTTTTTTCCTAAAAAAGCTAAGCCCAGAGCCACAAAGCTATTTAGCCTCCCAACATCCACTGATTTCAATAGAGCCTAGATACCTTGGTGGAGCTGGGCCTTACTTTTTAAGCCATCTTCACACCTCTCCAAGGACTTTGTTTCTACTGGAGGGATGGCACAGGCAGTTGGTTGAGTCACTGCTGGCCGTATGCCCTGCTTTGAATAATGAGCACTTTAGCCAGTAATACGAAAAGCAAAGGACCTTTTATAGGAGGTCCTTGTACCACATAAACCATTCACTGGTTGATTTAAAGATGAGCTGAGGGTCTTTTGAATTGCAGTATGTTTAGAGCAGAAAGGATGCAATGTCCCTGTGTAGGAGCCAGCTTGCAGCCCAGTGCCATGGTAATGGGAGAAAACCCAAACTTTTTAAACATTGAGACCCCCTGGTTGAAGTTTGTGCCCCTTTCCTGCATGCAGAAGCTCAGTAGCTGTTGGTTTAGTTTCAGGAACCGGCTGATGGGAGTTATCCAAATGATTCCTAGCTGAACCTTGAAGTCTTTAAACTACGATTTGAGGACTTCAATAGCTCAGACATAGGGGAGAGGTTTTTCACAGGAGTGGGTGGGTGAAATTCTGTGGCCTGCACTGTGCAGGAGGTCAGACTAGATGATCATAATGGTCCCTTCTGAACTAAATATCTATGAATCTATGAACACCTTGCCCTAGGCCTCTCACCCTAGGATGGGTATAGGGAGCAATTCTTGGTAGTAGTTTTTTTTTTAAAAATGCTGCTGTTCTCATTTCAGGGAGCTTAATATTTTCCCTGGTCACTCAATAAAACCTGTGACACAGGACACCTTATTTTACGCACGGTCTCTGGCCTATACAGAGCTGGCAAGCTAATGAATAGTCCTGTTGTTCAGCGGCAGGACAGTAACATCTTGCAGTGAGCCATGGTTGCGCAGCTCTGTCAATGAAATAAATATTTTAGGCCCCAGCTGTAGTGCAAAATGCTCATAACACAATGTTACAAATGCAACTTTAGAACTCATCTGGCAAAAGGATGAGGCACTTCAGCGAGGCTCTGCGCTGTCATTTGAGGCTGGCAGACTATTCAACGGGGAAGAGGGATTATAGCTAATTTGGAACTGCTTCCTCCCCACGACATTCTAGAAAATCCAGTGGTTTTTTTTTTAAAGTCCCCCTTGGCAAAGAGCTGGGGCTCCTTGCTCTCACTGTGCTCACATCAGCCAGGCACCTGAGAGTTGAGGCCACTAGTAGGATTTTTGTACCTTTTTGCATGTATTTCTTTGCCCCACAATCAGTTTTGTCTGTGGCCTTCGCATGGATTTTTAGACTATTCTATTAGCAGAAGAGAGAGGATTTTTTAAAGGCTTGACAAAGAAATTTATGAAGAATTATGAATCTTTGACATTGCAAACCGCTGTAAGGGCAAAAAATAGCCATGTCAGACCTACAGCTGCCCAGACACACCTGCTTTATTTAGGTAGGATCCTTTCCTGCACTGCTGAAGCTTTCCGTCCATTTAACATGATCAGGAAACAGTGCAAACACTGTCATCTGGTGGTAGAGAACCACCAGCCCTTGAGCCTTGGCAATGCCAGAATGATTTTGAACACAAAAAGCTGGAAGTATTACTTATTCTAGACACAGAGGGGGGAAAAAACTGGCCAGACCTGGATCAGGTGTCAGTTGGATTCAGTGCTCACGTTTAAATCCAAACCAAGACTAGAATGCAGGGGTACTGAAACATCAGGAGATTTCAACCAAAAGTTGCAGAATTCTCACAAGCTCAGTGGTTCTCCTGAAATTGCCTCCATCTTTTCATCGATCAGCAAAGAGAGATGCATGCTACACAAACTAATTTTCATGGCGTTCACAAGAGCAAGACCCACTAACTCACTGCAAATGGGCCACAACCTTCCAATTGTGATGGTTTGCAGCCCCTGCTTGCTTGGGGCAGGCTTGAGTGGTGAAAGATTCCCTAACTCAACCACCATCCCAAATCAGAAAGCCACCCACCTCCCTCCCCTTCTTACAAAGCAAGTGGTAAAAGTATCTTAAGTTATTGCCAAGTAGAATTTTGTTTTTTTCAGTCAGAGAAGGTTTAGCTCAATTTCTTACTCCTTCACAGTGAAGGGTGGGCTTGGGAAGGAAAACCCTTTACCAAGAAAGGCTGGGGCCCTGGTTAGGCCACTAGCCTGGCATGCCAGAAGCCTGGATTCACTTCCCTGCTCTACCCACTCCCCCTGTGACATGGCCAAGTTCCCATCTGTACAGTGAGGATAAGAGCCCTGCTTTGCCTCCTGGGGGTGGCTTAATAATTGGGGTGTTGGGGCACCATGGTCTCTACTTGAGCTGGTTCACCACACAGACCTGTGATGTTGCAAAAAACTAAATTGACTGTAAATTGTTTGAGCATTTATTGCCTCCAAATAGTGTAAACCTACCATGGTAACAAACCAGTTTAATTTATCATGGAAAGGGAAAATATTCTCCTACTACATAACAGCAAATGAATCAGGGTCAGTGCAAAGTCTTGATACTGACTTTGGCATTGAGCTACCATGGTGATGGATGTTGCATCTTCAATGGGGCTAGGAAACCTATCTTTGCTTTTACATGGTAGCACCTGAAATCAGTGAGCTCTGCCTGTTGAGAATAGGGCATCAACAGGTTTATGATCTTAGCAGGGCTTTAACTTACAATTAAGGCAGCATTTTCCATCTCTGAGTCATTTGAAATAGTCCATTCAAGGATCTTCACGGACCAGGACTGGCAGTTTGAGGTCTCCCACATTGAACAGTTACCCTGAGTGAACTTAAGCTATTTAATAGAGTCCTGTTCCCTGCTTCCCTTTTGTTGCAGCAGCCACTGCACTTTGATGTGTTCCTGCTGCACCGTGACCCGTGCCGGAGACGAGCTAAATGCAGCAATTGTAATGACACTACTTGGAGGTTTGAATGCAACCAGCTCTCAGAGGAACTGGCGACGCTGTCTGACAGGCCACCCGGCCAAAGGCTTCCTAGGCTCACCATCCCAGTCAAGGGAAAGAGAGCGTAGTTAGCCAACACCCCCTTCCATTCATCCAGATTCCAAGTAGTGCTTATAGCAGCTCCTTTATTTCCATGACACCTAGAGTTGCAGACTTCATTTACAGGAATGCAAGACAATCACCATCTTTCATCTAGAAAGGCAATGTCCTGAGCTTATAGATCCATGCATGGAATGCGCCTGCTTGAGCTGAGCCAATGCCTGCACTTTAATGTGGAGTCCTGTAATCCATGGTTGCACCTCCACAAAAGGGTTTGGAGCTGCATGCTAGCTGCCCCTACTCCTCCTGTCACTGAGCAAGGTAGGGTAGCAAGGGAGCCACCAGCCCCTCTTAAGGGGGCGACTAACATGGGCAAGCTCCCAAAATTCACGATTAACTTGCCAGTATCTTGTAGACTCCATGCCAAGATGGAATTTGTACTGTCATAGCCTTTAGCGCCCTTGATTAGGCGAGGGCTCTTGTCCTGGGTACTACACAGATGTAGTAACTGGCCCAAAGAGCTTTGTGCTAGTTGGCAGTACGGCACTGCCAGCATTTGGGCACCAACTGCTCTAGACCTATTTTGCTCATCTCAGCACAAAGGGCACAAACCCGTCTTATCTTCATGGGCTACATTCTGTGCTCTCATCCTGCTCAGCTTCTTTCCTCCTAAAACGAGATTCTTGTATCTTAAATTCCTCACTCCAGCACTAATAAAATCAGCTCCCATTTGGCTTTTGGGATTAAAATGGCCAGAAGTCAGATTTACAAACCAAAGCATTTAATCATCTCTTGGCAGTAAAACCGTATAAGATCTCCACCTCACCATCTCCTGGGCAACAGGCTGGGCAGGTAAATTCATCCTCTGTGCAGGGCCCTCAAGCACAGATCCAGAGTGACAGCAGAATAGGAGCAGCAGGGTCATGCACATAGTTTAGCAGTTTTACATACTACGTGGCAGTAACCCCAAATAGTCGGTAGACCTAAATCATGAGGGAAGGAGACAGACAAGCATCTTGGGACACAAGATTTTACTGGCAGCAGATGACAAATGCTGCACTTTATCTTTGCTTGTTACTTCCTCCCTTCACAGCGCTGAGGACTGAAATGACAGGGGCTTTCCTTTTCAGTAGTAAGACTGCCTGCTCCTTATTAGAACTGCCAGTTTGTGTGGACTGAATCCCCTCGTCCCCTTCTATCCAGCTATCTGCCTGTACGACGTAAGAGCAGAGGCAGCTGATCTAAAAGTGCCTCCCAAGACAGGCAAGAACAGAGAACTCTGATCACTTTAACAAGTGAAAAAGAACCTTCTAACAGCAGAGAGATTTAGTTTACAAGATTTTAATTTACAAATAAAAAACTACACTTTATTTTTTCTCTTTTTTCTCCTCTTTCTTGCCATCACTCTTCTCTTTGTCTTTCTCCTTCTCATCTTTTCTCTCCTTTTTGCTTTCCTCCTTTTCCTGACCTTCCTTCTTCTCTGCATCTCTGTTGGCAATCTTGTTGTTGATGAGGTTGTGCAGGGCAACCACAGACCGGATAAGAGAAGCCAAGTAGACCACCACCATCTGGTCATTGGTCTTCAGGTAAAAGGCCTTGACAAACTCCTGCAGATTGACATCTGGCAGCAGGTTGAAGACATCCTGAAGCTGGTAGATGATCTGGTGATTGATGGGTAGTTTGCCCATGGCCACTTTCTCTAGGTAGCTCCTGATATCCAGAAGCTTGGAGTTCAGTCCCTTCAAACCATGGACCTGGTTTGTGATGCGCTGGGACAGAGTGCCCACTGTTGTGTCTTTAATATCTCTAAAATACCCAAAATAGGAAGGAGAAGCCTTAATATTACTTTACATACATGTATAGATCTTTCTAGCTCAAAATAAATTAAAAAGACTGCCTTGAAGGATAAATGAAGTAAAATTTTACAAAACACTTCACAAAGATTCAGAAAAAAATAGTTTACATTGGGTGCATTAGAAACACCGAACGTAGATTTGATAAAGGTCACCATATGCTCTGTATGGACTGAATATTTTTTAGGAATAGTCTGATGGTTAGGAGATAACGAGAGGGCTCCTGGATTCTATGAGAGGCTTTGTCACTAACTCACCCTGGGGACTTGGGCAAGTCACATCTCTACAGATTACACAGCTGTAAAATAGGTATAATAATTGTTTAACATCACAGGGGCCTCGTGAGACTTAACATTTCACTGAAGGCTTGGAGAGTGCTTTACAAATATAGAGTGAAGGCAAGCCAAAGCAAGATCTCCCTCTGTGACCATTTGTAAACAATGCCTTTCCGCTCTTTGAGTCTTGATAGATGAAAGGTCTGCATAGTCTGCCTCCAGATAATTTTGCTCTCCTTTCTCATAGGCAGCTGTTGCTGTCAGAGGAGCAATATGAACATCAGTATTAAACGGAAGCCTTTCTGAACTATCAAGTGTGACTCTACCTTGTTCTGACCTAGCTCAAGCTATTTGCTGGAGTTCAAGGGGCAAGGTGAAACTGACGTTTTATTAGTTTTTTCAAAAAACAGTCAAAGTCAAACATTTCACTAGAAATGAGTTCAGCAGATTCTATATTATTCAGTATTGCTGAATTAACCTGTTTAGATTAAATCAAGTGTTTAAGTAGCATGTAACAAGGTCCTTGTTTCTTGTATCGTATCCCTAGGCAGGGAGCTGGTGCCAGCAGTTGTTAGATGGATAAAGTGAGCTGCCATCCAACCACTGATAAGGTTTTTCATTACAATAAAGCTTTTACCGTAACAAGTGTTCAACACCAACTTCCTCTGCTTCCTCAGCTCCAATTTCACTGGTCACATGTTCAAAAGTCTTGGAGGTTGGAGTTCCATCCTTTGTTGGGGTACAAGAATGGGATGACGACAAGGTTAGAAATAGAGAACAGATAATTACAGGTGTAACAGCATAACCTCAAGTGAGCCGGTTTTGGGCACTGTGCATGTGAACAGTAGAACTGCTCCAATGAAACTTCAAAGCAAAGAAGGTTTATTGGAAGCTGGATTTGTTACAAACCAAAAGCATTGTACACTTTATCCAGAGCTATGTCTGGCCTGCTGCGATGAATAAGTGGGACATGCATGATAAGAATAGGATCTGAAACAGCCAGTAAGGAAAACCCATCAAGATGGGATAGGAGAGCCCCACAGAGTCCACAGATATGGTGAAAACTAGTTCATAACAGAATCCCCAAAGTATAAGGGGTTTTAAAAAGGGAGACTAAGAAACTGATATTCTTTAAAGGAATCTAGAAAACTGGCTAGACATGCCACTGGAAGTCAGACAGGGAGGAGGTCATCAACAAAGCAATAACTAGAATTATAAAATAAGGTACTTTAACGTACTGCCTAATTTCTATTGCACACCAGTTAAACTGAGGCAGATGTCACTAACACTAACCCACAGAAATGCTAGAGACATCTGAGGTGATGGTAACACAATACATTTTTCTGTACATTAATGCTTCTCCCACCACTTCATCTGTAGCATTATTCTTGGTGAGGCTCAATAGTCTCCAGGTAGTTAGTCTGCAGGGCTACGTACTAGAGAGTGAGTGAGTGAGTGCGTGCCATGGTGACTATTTTATTTGAAGACGGGACCTAATTACCTTTGAGACTTGTATTAGTTTTGGTTGTACCATGTTCCAGGCCTGGTGGGGACCAACAGCTGTAAGAACAAGAGTTCACAAAACCAGGAAAAAAAAAAACCCTATAGATTTAAGACTGGAGAACCTGGGAACAGCTGTCTCTCCCCACCGTGGGTCTTTGACAGATAGTGATAGGACCAGGTTTTTTAAAAAAATATTTCTAGATTCTGATTTTAAAACCATCAAAATTAAATCTGGATGAAAAGTCACCACTGATTCTAGCATACACAGTGGTAGATGAGTGATTAACAAAGATAGTAAAGTCAACCATGTGTAGTTAAGACTAAGCTGGTGAAGATGAGATGTGTGATTACTCAGACTATTGCTGCAACAAGCTGACATGTATCAATTGAATCATAAATGCATGCTCCAACCTGCTGCTTTTTTCATGGGTGTGGACAAACAGTAAAGGAGCAGCATTCTAAAATAGATGCAATTTCAGCTAGCTGTAAGAACCTGCAGAGCTCCTTGGTTCAAGCAGGGAGAAACTGCTTTTCAGGAGTGTTAGAGGACGGAAAATTTTGGTTCAATAAGCAGAAATTTACAGTGGGGGTTCAAACACTGATTTAGCAGGTTTAAACTGAAAGGCACAAAAACCCTAGTTAGCAGACGCAATGTTATCTATTGAACTGAAAAAGGGAAACTGATGTAGAGGAAAGGGTACCCTAAAAAGGATAAGGCAACATGCTTTAATGTATCCTATTTCTTAAAGCACCTCTTTCCCTTTTGCAGGAAATCCCACAATAGTTTGAAAATGACAAATACTGAAATGATGAACACTCACATCATGAACTTCTTCAACTGAAATATAGGCTTCTGTTGGCAGCCCCAGGTCTTTTGGCTTTACATCAATAATTACCAATACCTGGTGGAGAAACACATCTTAGACAAATTCTACTCAAGAACTAGAAGAAACAGGTTGTGGCCAACTGCTGATTCTCTAGCACTGACAAGTTTGTTATTCAATCAAAGAGGTTTCTAACTGTAAGCAGGGAAAAATTGTCTGCCACTGTTTTGAGGGAGACTGATCAGTATGCTCTATTCACTTTACATCTACCATGCTATATCTTACTACATGTCATGTCACTACTGACAATTGCAGATGGAGCTGGAAAGGACTGCAGGTTCCCAGAAGCTCCATAAACAGATGAAGTGCATTACTTACAGAATTAGGACAGTATCTTTTCATTAGTTCATTGATGGCAATGTCATTCTTGTGTAGTTTGGGGCCTGTGTGGTACCATCCAACAATTCTTTCCCTAGCTGGGAAAAGCAAAAACAATTATTAGAATAGTCAGAATCTGAGGGTAATGACAGGAAAATAGTTCATACAGAGGAATACGAGCGCTCAAATCCAGGTACTGCCTGACCCTGGGCTGTGCCCAAACTCCCACTTCTGCTTTACAGACACCAGTAAAGGCCTAAACGCTTTGAGAAATTAAATTGTTGCTGCACTTTGCACTCCTTCCCCTCAGATTTGTGCTGGTGGAAGGCAGTTTAGGAATGGAAAATGGAGCAGGTGATGGCTGAGGGCATATGAAGGCTGGGAGCTGAACACCACATTTCCAGATTTGCCAGTAAATTTTGAATCTAAAACGGGGCTTCACAGCAAGATATTTGCTAAAGTGATTTTTGTGCCTAGACACTTCAACAATGGCTGCATATGAGATGGGTTAAATGCAGCATATTATTGGACAGCACAGGCGAGCGAGCCATTTGTACAACTTTAAATCACCAAACAATGCAGAGATAACATCAGCAACAGGCCGCAGTTGACTTCAGCATCCTTATGATACACAGGCAAAGCAACCATCCTCAAGGCAGTGAGGTTCCAATTTTTTTTTTTTTAAATTAGCGTCAATGCTTTGATTTGCAGACAGGAAGCCAAAGATGTTCAAAGCACAGGTTTAGTGTCCCATGCTGCTCCACTTCCTTAAACAGGTAAACAATCAGATTCTAGTCAAAGCTTCTGAGTGGTCTCAAAGGGTAGTACGCCAGGTAGAGCATACTACAATAATCTATCTTGGAAGTGACAAAGGCATGGATCCTGTCTGTCAAATATTTTACACCCCTTATCAGCTATGAATGATCCCCAAGTCAGAGCTGGTTTATGCAACATGGCACTTTCGAGCAGACAGACTGTGGGGATCTCTCAGAGACAAAAGGGGGCCAAAGTGGCTCTTGACATCCTGCTGCACAAAAATTCAAAGATAATAATCTGCAAGATCTGCACTAGGCTTGAGACTCAAATACTTAAGGAATCATAAGAACATCAGCAGTATAAATAAGAGTTTTTCCAAGGGCTGGGAATGTTCACAGGGGAATTACTGTAGCCTCTCCAGATTCAGGCCCCATAATCTTATAAAGGAAAGAAAAGTGAGACTTTTATAAACAAAACCAAATAAAATAGAAAGGTTAATCAGTTCACCTGGGTTTGTAATTCAGATGTCTGCACTCATATGAGGGAAAGGTGGCAGAGGGAAAGGAGATTCTGGCGGAAGGGGTCACAGTAGCAGGGTTTGAATTTCTTATAGCTATTCAATCCTCAAGATTGTCACCTCAGTTCTTGGAAGTACAGTGCTGCCAGGAGACTTAGAGAGAGAGAGTTTCTAGGCAAATATCAACCACTCACAATGTGCACTTACCATTGACTTTTTTAAACATTCCATACATGTTCTCCAGATAATCATGGTCTAGAAACCACACAGAGTCATCTTTATCATCCTCATCGAAAGGGACTGGGAACAAAACAGTTAGTTCAATATTTAGCAGTTCAAGTTCCATCTACTAGCCTGAAAACTTTCACAGAAAAATCAGATTTTTTTCCAGCAAGTTCTTGGCTACAAATTAAAATAAAAGTAATTTTGCTCAATTTTGATTGAATACAACTGTTCTGCTACACTGTGCTGCAGATACTCTTGTAAAACTCAGCAGCAACATTAGCTGATTTTTTCCAAGTGGTTTTCTGATAATTACTGAATTAGTTTTAGAATTGAGCAAGAAAAACCAAAGCCATTGAATTATTCTGAGCAAACATCATCTACAAAGTGTTCAAGAAAATGCCAGGAACATTCCAGTGTAACAACTTACACAAAATTGGTGTGTAAGGACTTCTGATAAAGAAAATTGTGGGTCCCAATAGGTCACTAGAGCCTGTTGGGTCAACGGAGCTTTGAATAATGAAAAACTACTTTGTGGTGTAAGACACATTCCAGTAGTGCATTAAGACAAATAACTACAATTCTACGAAGTCTGTTTAAAAAATAATGGCATATGCCATTTTCTTGAGTGAAGAACTGGTTTGTTTTGTTAGTTCACATTATGGATAACAGGCTACAAGTTTAGTTCTGAGCAACAGGGCTTTAATTTACAGAAACAAAAAAATCTCCAATTATAAAGTTATATTTTTGGCAGCCCTGCAGTTTAAGTGAGCAAACTGCTACTCCATCTTCACAACTCTGCAAAAATAACCAGGATTAGGCTACACTTTTGTTCCCAGATTTTCATGCAGGAGCCAACACAGATGATTCCGTTTTATCAATAAATACCCCCCTTTGGAAAGCAGATGAATAAGAGGAGATGAGAGGTAAATAAGAAAACAAAAAAGATCAGAAAAGGCCATACAGGTACTGATTTTACCACTGTACAAACCCAGGATTCAAACTCAAGATGCAATGATTGTAATACAAATGAAAATACACTTTTTAAGCAATATCTGTGCAATTCTCACAGGCTATTCTTAAAGAAAAAAGGTACTTTTCAAATAAAACATTAGCACTTCATGTGAATCTGCAATGACATTAGCCAGGTAACTCAAGCCATGAGTCTTCAAAGCCCAAGGTCATAAAATGATCACAATTCAGGATTAGGAAGAAATCTTCCACCTCCGATACCGAACAATTGCTGCTTTAGGAGTTTTACAGCTGCCTCTGAGCATTCACCGTTGCACACTGCTGCAGACAAGATGCAGAGCAGGAGGAGACTGATGGGATCGGGTTCTTTTGTAAGCAGATAACTAGCATTTTTCCATGAAAATGTAGACACCATAGCGTCATGAATTTATAAATCTGAAGAAGAGTTTAATGTGCCAGGATGGTGCAAGAAAACATTTGGCAGTTTTTCTGCTAGCTAGTTTAATAGGTGGTAAACAGAATAGGACACCCAAACTCACCTGCAAAACTGTTGGATACATCTAATATTTTCTTCTGCCAAGAGCCCAGCAACACTCCAACAACTCGCTTCTGATTCCCAACTTTTCCTATTCTAAATGGAAAAGACTGTCACAGTTTGTATTAAGGAATGCAACATATTTGATCCTGGAAATAACACACCAATAGCACAAATGAATCAGTTGTGTCATCTGACTTTAAGTCAGAAGATAAACAGCATGTGATTCTGGGGGATGTAGATGGGAGACGAACAGGGTAATTATGTTCCTTGTCATTACTTAGTTAATTTATACCTAAAGAAGTTGTTACAGTGCACTCTAAATCCAGGCACGACACTTGTAATTTATCCGCTGATGTGAAAAATGCACTAGATGTTTCCATGCAGCTAATGGATGCTACTATAACAGATTACTGTGTCATAAAATAGAGGGCTACTACTGCATCTGTTCTGTAAATCAAGCTGTAAAAAGTACAGTAAACTTTCAACTTTGTTCACTGTCATCTCTAATTTACGTTTACAATAGGAGGTTTTTCTCTGCTATTGTATGCTGCCTTGAAGGAAAAGATTTTTTTACATTAAGAGTGCTTGTCAGCTGGTGCAATTAAGTTAATTTTAGGCACACAGAGCACAAATTGTAAACAATGTTTAGAGGAATATAATTTATTCTCTGCTGAGTGAATTGTAGCTTTAAGGGTAAAATCTGTGTAAACCAGACAAATGAAAAATGCCATGTTTCAATACGCAGAGAATATACACACTACATTTAAAACCAAAGTCAGTTATGCCTAATAAAATGGTATTTATAACTTGTTAACCAATTTCACGGTATTTGAATGTTACTTTAACTTTGGTTCAATTGTTCTTGCTTAAGGAAAAAACAAATAAGCCTATTTGGGAATATCATGTCCTTTAATGCAAGCATAAACTGTCATCATTGTAATTTACTAAACCACAAATGATACCCCATGATAAATCATAACTCTCACTACCTCACATTGGTACTGTTCAGCCTCCTTATATCACAAAATTAGAAGAAGTCATCACTCCTAAACTGTTGCTTTTGCAGTCCATTCAGCTTTAGGACACTGTAGTTGCATTTTATTGATACAAGGTAATTCCACTTACTAATGCTTTTTCTTATGGTATACAGAAGCACATACATGCATGATCCCTGTCCTGAAGAGCCTATGTTTTAAGATAAACATTAGCTGCAAGATTTTCAGAGCTGTACACACAAAAATGCATATTCATCTGATTGCATAATTTGGAAGCACAAATTAGCATAACAGCATCGACATTGTGGAAACTGTCCAGTCAGGGGATTTAGTTAATTGCCCATTTATGCTCACAATTGCAGCAACAGGCCAACCCCCAAATCTGAATAGCTGGTGCTGACTTTCACGTTTATGAAGTTATCTAGAGTATTTTACTCTCACTTCTAGGGAATTCTACCTTTCTGACACACAGCCAGAATATCAGACGATTGAAGCAAGATCTTCACGTTTCTGGAGATACTTGCTCTGGGTTTTACTGATCAATGAGATACATAGCAGACACTACAAAGGCTAAAGCTTTGCCTCACTGAGGAACTGCATATATAAAAAGGTTTCAGAGTAGCAGCCCTGTTAGTCTGTATTCGCAAGAAGAAGAGGAGGACTTGTGGCACCTTAGAGACTAACACATTTATTTGAGCATGAGCTTTCGTGAGCTACAGCATCCGATGAAGAGAGCTCACGAAAGCTGACGCTCAAACAAACGGGTTAGTCTCTAAGGTGCCACAAGTCCTCCTTTCCTTTTTGCATAGAAGGTGGTTACATACAGTCAGCAACATTTCATTTAAAAATCAGCGCGGGGTCTCTAGGGGCGCAAGGCCACGGCCCAGAAGGCAGCAGTAGCCCCAAAGGCTGCAGTGGCCGAGAGCTGGGGCCAGGACCGCCTGGGAGCACGTTTGCAGGCAGCGACGAGGACGGGGTCCAGCTCATTTCTCAGCCCGGGGAGGAGGCAGCTGTGAGCTGCCCGGGCCCTCAGCGGCGAACTGGCTCCACAGGCCCCAAGTTTTGACGCAGCAACCGGCCCCCGGGGTCCCGCGGCGGCGCGGGCGAGGGGCTCGGGGCGGGGGGCTCCGGGGAGCCGAAATCCCCCCCCGGGAGTCCCGGGGCGACGCGCCAAGCGCCGGGCCCGCGAACAGCGCCGGGCTTCCCGCCCCCGCCCCCGCCCCGCGGCCCGAGCCCGTCTCGCAGCCACGACTCGGCGCCCCCGGGCCGGCGGCGGGGGGGCGGGGGGGCGGCGCCCGGGTCCCGGCCCCGCACGGGCAACGGGCCGGGCCCGTGACTCAGCGGCCGGGCGCCGCCGCCGGGCCTCACCTGTTGAAGTGATCCACCACGCTGAGCAGCACCAGCGGGTGAACCACCACCCGGTCCACGGCCAGCTCCGGCATCGCGCCCCTCGGCCCCGACGCTGCGGCTGCGGCTGCGGCTGCGACCCCGGCCCCACACACCAGCCCCAGGCCCGGCGCCTCAGCCAGCCCTCCCTGCCGCCGCTCCCAGCACGCACCGCTCGGGGGCGGAGCCTCCGTGACACCATCTTGGGAGGGGCGGCAGACGGGAGCGGGAAGACGCCACCTTGGAAAGGTCACGGACGGGGCGGGCTGCCCCGCTCGCGGCAGCAGGGCCGCCATCTTGAGACGGTCCGGGCGATGGCGCCCGCCTCCCCAGGTAGCCCAGCACCGCCATTTTGGGAGGGTCAGCGAGGCTCGAAATGCCCGTGTCAGGGCCGGCCCGCCCGCCTGGGCCTGGAGGAGCGGGAGCCTGTGAAGCACCTCAGCCCACGCGACGTGCCCCAGCAGGCGGGGAGGCGCTCGGGGGGCAGCCCCGGGCCCGGGCGGGGGTGCTGGGCCTAGCCGCCGGGCGGCTGGCCTTTCGTTCCCCGCCCCCGTGGCGGGGCCTGCCTGACCGTGCGGCCTGGCGCCGGTGGGGAGCTCAGTTCGGGTGTCGTCGGCGCAGGCAGAGCGCCCTCGTCCCCCGGGGAGACGGCGCCAGCCCGCCCGGCCGCCCGCCCCAGCCTCGCAGGGAAAGTCCCCGTGGGGGCGACACGGAGCAGCCGCAAGGTTGTCCGGCCTCGCAAGTGAAAACGGGCTCCTCCTGCACAGCCCTAAGCCGCGGGTCATCTCGAAGGATGCAGTAATGTTCAAACCCCTCCGGAACAACAGGGCACCTGCAACAAATAAAATACCCGCCTCAGATTTCCTCTTGCGCCTCCGCTTGGCCCGCTGGTGTCTTTAATGTCTGTAAGGTAATGCCCGTGCTAGTCTAGGCTCGGCTCCTGTTGAAATCAGTGACAGAACTGCACTTCCAAAGGATTAGGCCCAGAGAGGTACACCTCCTGTGCTGGTGATGGGGTTGGCTTCGCTTCCCCTCTCCGGAGGCTGCGAGGTGCCAGCTTGCCCCCTGCACTTGTTGCGGCGTTCCCGAAGACTACGAACTTGTGTCCCTTTGTGGGCTGTTGCATTCCCAGCCCATAGCTGGAGCGTATGCGCTCCCACTGCCAACCTGCCTTCAGCCCAGTGCCTACGCTGTGGACTGCTGTGCTTGTAGACCCAGTTATACTGTACTGGGGGCTCTCCTTGGAGTGGCTTCACCAGATCTTTGCAGCCATTTTATGTTGATATACCTGAAATAAATTGACTGCAACTCAACCATGAATTCCCCTCTTAGGTTGTAAATTTCTTGGAGCAGAAACTGTCATACATTTTCTTTTATATTTATACAGTACTGAGCAGCTACAGTATTAATGAGCAATAATAATCATACTTATATCCTATGTACCATTTCACATCTTCAAAGTAGGTACAAAAGTTTTTTTTTTTTTTAAACTAACTACTCCTTTGCAGAAGGTAAAGTGATATGCCCCCTTCCCATTACTCAAAGTAAACAAAGAAGATGAATGCTACTGTTAATCTTAGGTTTCAGAGTAACAGCCATGTTAGTCTGTATTCGCAAAAAGAAAAGGAGTACTTGTGGCACCTTAGAGACTAACCAATTTATTTGAGCATAAGCTTTCGTGAGCTACAGCTCACTTCATCGGATGCATCCACGCTTTCCACGGTATGCATCCGATGAAGTGAGCTGTAGCTCACGAAAGCTTATGCTCAAATAAATTGGTTAGTCTCTAAGGTGCCACAAGTACTCCTTTTCTTTTTACTGTTAATCTTTACTCTCACCTTTGGTTAGTCATTTACATATCAGTGATTACTTTTTTCAGCTTAGGTGTCAGGGAAACTGCCTGTATTTACTCAAGGTACTGTATCATCATTGTCCTTAATGTACTTTTTGCTATGGTGAATTGAATTTTGTGGCTGTGGAATCAAGGAACAAACCAGGACCCTTATGGGCTTTTAGATGTGTCAAAAATTAAGGAAGACAAGGTGGATCCCTTTAAGACTCCACATGAGGACACCTTTAGGGAAGGCCAGCAATTGCACAACACCTGTTTTCTCTCCAAAACATAGCAGTGAAGCCACTTGAAGGCAGTCTTGTCCACTCCCCTGAGGTCTGTAGGTGGATGCAAGATTATGCTATTAGGGACTAACAGCATGATTTTTTTCCCATAAACTGGGGCTATATCAGTTGGAAGTGACAAGGAGGAGGAACACGTGGGTGTATTGGTTAATCACAGGATGACGACAAGCTGCCAGTGTGTTGCAGCAGTGAAAAGGCTAATGCAGTCTTAGGCTGCATCATGCGAGGTATTTCCAGTAGAGAGAAGGAAGGGTTATTAACATTATACAAAGCATTGGTGAGACCTCCTCTGGAACAGTGTGTGCAGTTCTGGTCTCCTATGTCTAAGAAAGATGAGTTCAAACTGGAACAGGTGAAGAGAGGCTACCAGGATGATTAGAGGAATGGAGAACGTACCTTTTGGGAGGAAATGTGAGGAGCTTGACTTACTAACAAAACAAAGGCTGAGGGGAGATAGGATTGCTCTCTATAAATATACCAGAGGGATAAACACTAGCGAGGGAGAGGAGTTATTTAAGTAAAGGGCCAATGCTGGCACAAGAACAAATGGATATAAACTGGCCATCAACAAGTTTAGGCTTGAAATTACATGAGGGTTTCCAGCCTTCAAAGGAGTAAAGTTATAGAACAGTCATCTAATAGTGGGGGTAAAAAAAATTAACTTGTTTTAAGACTGAGCTTGGTAAGTTCATGGAGAGGATGGTGTGATGAGATTGCCTACAATGGCATATGGCCCATCCACAACAGCTATTAGCAAATATTTCCAATGGCTGGAGATGGGACACTGGCAGGGGTCGGGGGGGAGAAGGGTTCTGGTTACTACAGAGAATTCTTTCCCAGGCTAGTGGGTCTTGTCCACATGCTCAGGTCTAACTGATTGCCATATTTCCCCCCCAGTATTTTGGCAGAAACCCTGGGTCTTTTTGCCTTCTTCTGCAGTGCGGGGCACAGTTCAGTTGCTGGTTTGAAATATAGTAAATGGTGGATTCAAACTTTCAAGTCTTTAAATCAAGATTTGAGGACTGCAGTAACTCAGCCAGAGGTTATGGGCCTACTACAGGAGTGGGTAGGTGAGGTTCTGTGGCTTGCAATCTGCTGGAGGTCAGACTAGGTGATCATGATGGTCCCCTCTGGCTATAAAGCCTGTGAGTCTATGAATGAACAGTATCTTTAGATCAGTAGTATTAAAGGCAGCTATAGATCCATCTCTAGGAGTAGATCATCAGCCAACACAACTAAACAGTCTGTGTACCAAATCCAGGTCAATAGTCAGATTGACAAGGGTCAAGGAAATCCTAGGCCTTGTGAGAACTGTCTTTTCAGTCATTTTGTCCACAACGAGAGGGTTAGACACAAGTTGATCGTTGGGCAGATTGTCTTGGTTAAGTGATAGTTTTCTGCACATATGCCACATCAGTGCTCCTCTAAGGGAAGCCAGTAGCCCTCTTTCCTTAAAAGAGACGTTGGTAATCTTCCTTAGCACTGGGCCAGCCCCTCTTAACTGCGCTCTTCAGTTACCCCATTTGGAAAATGGACCTGTGTGTCACGAGGTTGGAGAGGTATATTGGCAGGGGACGCAGCAGGAGGAGTACATTTACCAGATCATGGAAATATTTTTCACTTTTGAAAATTTGCTGTGTCTGTTTCAGATGCTGACAACAGAGAATCACTTCAAGTTTTCAAATAACGTCAGTTTCTTAAAAATATATGATTCTTGACCTTGAAAACTAGTTATTTCAGGAGCAGATGTCAAAATCTTTATATGCCCTAAATGTTGTGGTGCAGTCTAATCTGCAGTCTCTCAGTTGGGGGATCAGGAGTTGGTTGAAGCCCTTTCAGATACATCTCTGCCACCAGGGGTTTGATATGAGATTGATCAAGCTGTCTCCATGTCACAAACCAGATACCTGGGCTGAAGATGAAGAAAGGCAAAGCCCTCTTCTTAACTAGTTTTTTGGCTTCCTGGAATTTCTGATGCTACTCCACAGCTTCCTTGTTGCAGTCAGGGAACAGCATGATTTTTTAGAGTGTTTCCTACCATGCAGCTTCTCCAGCTCACTCACAGAGCTTGGTGAGCAGAAGCCCTTCAGTAGCGAGCAAGAAGAGTTTGAATAGGAGACGAAGAATAGATTTGTGATTAAGGCACTGAACTGGGATTTAGGTGATCTGGGTTCAGTTTCTGGCTCTGCCAAACATTGTGTGACCTCAGGCAATTTGTAGGATCTCTCTTTGCCTCAGTTCCCCATCAGTAAAATGAGGGAAATAATGCTTTCTGTCTCTCACTCTTTGTCTATCTTGCCTGTCTAGAGTGTAAGTTCTTCAGGGCAGGAATGTATGTATGTATGTACAACACCTAGCACAATGATCTTGATAGGGAGCTATGGGAGCTACCGGAATATAAATAATAATGTGCGGTGTCTGGATCTCTTTCCATCCTCAGTGTTGGTGCTGCTGACCTGTGTGCCCATTTGATATCCAGTTGTATGTCTTTCTGCAGCTTTAGGAGTTGTGGCAACATGCCCTACAGGAATTCAGTTGGCTTGCCTGCCTCCATATCTTTAAGGAGCCTTACAACCTTCAGACACTGCAGTGATTAAGTCCATCTAAATATGAAAAAAGATGGATTACATTGCCAGAGTTCAGAGTAGCAGCCGTGGTAGTCTGTATCTGCAAAAAGAAAAGGAGTACTTGTGGCACCTTAGAGACTAACCAATTTATTTGAGCATAAGCTTTCGTGAGCTACAGCTCACTTCATCGGATGCATGTAGAGGAAAATACAGTGGGGAGATTTTATATACACAGAGAACATGAAACAATGGGTGTTACCATACACACTGTAACAAGAGTGATCAGCTAAGGTGAGATAATACCAGCAGGAGAGCCGGGGGGGTGGGAGGGGACGGACCTTTTGTAGTGATAATCAAAGTGGGCCATTTCCAGCAGTTGACAAGAACGTGTGAGGAACAGTATGGGGGGGGGGGGAATAAACATGGGGAAATAGTTTTACTTTGTGTAATGACACATCCACCC